ATTAATTTCTTTCTATTTTTAGTAGAGACGGGGTGTCGCGCTTGCTCAGGCTGGTCTCGAACTCCTGACCTTGAGCGATCCACCCGCCTTGGCCTCCCAGAGTGCTAGGATTACAGGCGTGAGCCACCGCGCCCGGACCAAGCGCATTACATTTACCGTGCAGTCAAACCTCTCTGCTAATGAGAATCTGTATTTGCAACCGCTCCCCAGCGCTAGCATCACTGCCTCAGCTCCACCTCAGATCATCAGACATTAGATTCTCATACGGAGTCGCAACCTAGATCCCTCCAGAGCACACTTTACAGTAGGGTTTGTGCTCCTATGAGAATCCAATGCCCCTGCTGATCTGACAGGAGGCGGAGCTTATGCAGTGATGCAAGCAATGGGGAGGGAATGAAGCTTTGCTTACTGGCCACTTATCTCCTGCTGGGTGGCCTGGTTCCTAACAGGCCAGCGACCAGCACCAGTCCACCGCCCAGGGAGTTTGGAGACCACAGCCCTAATTCAGAGAGGAGTGTGTAATGACTCACAGAAATCAGGAGTCCAAAATCTCTGCTCCTGCCTCCAGGGCAGAGTGAGCTAGGTTTTTCTTTGCCAGGTTCTAAGTATGAAGCACTTAGCAGTGTTGGCAAATAGCAGGCACCAAGTTACTAAATAATAAATCATTTTTGCATGAGTAATTATAATTTATTAAGGTGGGTGACAAATGACAGATGCAGTACTAGTCAGTATAGTTGGATAAATATCTTTCAAACCTCATTCACGGGCTGCCTCAAAGCCAGGATCCTCAGGACAGCACAGGGCAAGACAGGCAGTTTTATTTATGGACTGCCTAACCAGTATTCACTTAAAATTGACGGCAGTGGACAAAGTTCAAATCGTGTTATTAGACAAATGTTATGGAGGCTGGGAATTTTGTATTCTTGGCGCCAGGTCACTGGGTCTACTTTGGTATTCGCTGGGGAAGAAAAGGGCCCAGCTGAAAAAGGGGCATGAATTGAACTACAGCAGGTAAAGGTGGCCAGGCCTTAGCTGTGACTGGTCACTAGTGGGGAATGGCCCTGTGTGGGACAAGAAGCTGGAGACTACTTCATCTGCAGGGTAGACGGGAATCATGCTTGGGGATACAGCCCCTGGGCCAGTTTCTACCTCCAGCAACAGTTTTTAATGACAAAGTGTCACTTTGTTAAAGATATTGTTGTTTCTCAAAAAAAAAAAAACCAAACAAAACTGATGAGGCAAAAAAGTTTCCATGTTAAAATAGGGTCATTTAAAATGAAGTAAATAGATTGGTGTAGTAGAAATTGTTGGTTTCTACGCAGCATCATTCCTCTCTTCATGACTTTTCCCAACTTTATTCAGAAAGTGAACTCTCTCTACTCAAACTTTGCTTCGGAGTGTGCGACCCTATCTCCAGCTCTGGGATGGGCCTTAATTGGCCTAAAACAATTAAAGTAATTCTCTTTTCTACAGTTACTGGTTTCGGGAACTTGTGTTATAGAATGACATCTCCTGACCACAGAGGCTGGTTTAGAAATGTCATGTGACCTAACCTGGGCTGAGCTATGAGAGGAGGCTGATTGCGAGCTCTTGGGAAAGAAACACCAGCGCTCTTCAGAGGGGACCTTTTCCTGCTGGAGGGGGCGATACGTGCATGTGAAACCTGGAGCTGCGGTGGCCTTTTGCGTCCATGAAGGCAGTGGGCCTGAGGATGAAGCTGGCACTGCTAGAGTCAGGGGAAGGAAAGAAAGTGGGTCCTTCATGACATCACTGAGCTGCTAAGTACACGCTGCTGCCGGATCTCCCAGCTTCATGAGCTAATACATCCCATTACTGCTCAAGCCTGATGGAGCTATCTCTCTGTTACTTGTCAAAGGCAGCATCCTAACAATGATTCACGTAGAAACCACAAGTAAAATGCTTTTACAGAACACACTGAAAGTGCTGAAGCCAAGACCATGTGAAACAGTGGCACACTCGCAGGCAGCCTGGCATAGTCTAGAAGACGGTGCAGCTGAGCTTAAACCAAGCTCTGCTGTTAACGTGCACTGTGATCTGGGAGAAGCCACCCAACTTTTCTTGCGCTTGGTTCCTATCAACAAAATAAGAGTTGTTTCTAGATGGTTTCTAGCTTTTTCCATCACGAATTTTTATTACTGGTCTTTCTTGTGGATTTTGTGTTTTTAATGATTTTGTCCATCGATACATTTTTCTCATGTACTTATCAGACAAAGCACACTGCAAATCAGCTCTTCCGCTCCGCAAAGGTAATTATTTACCTGACCAAATTACTATAACATGCACTGAATACGTAAAAATGTATTTATTATTAGCTTTCGAAACCTTAATATAAATGTGATTTCTCATGGGCTTTTACAAATACTGAAAATAGCTTCCAGGTCCTCTTTCTTCTTTTAAGGATCTTTGGAGATTCATAAGAACTACTGATTAGAGGATTGCAAGTCATCATGGATGAAGAAGAAAATTCAGTGATGTCTCAAAAGTTGTAATTCATATTAAATTACAAGTCTTGATTATTCTTACTTTTTCACAAAAAGTTCATATAGTCTTTAAAGGATGTGAAAAACATTTTTGCATTTAGATAAACATCTTAAAATATAAGGTAAGACTACGAAGCACCATGACAGGTTTTTCTCTGCCATTTGTAAACTAGATTAGAAGGCAATTTCCAGAATTCCAGAACTGTTGTGGAGATATTATCATTTTCATTTACAATCAGGATAAATTGCATTCAACAAGGAGTCAAGGGATCTGGGTTCCAGTTGCCATCTTGCACGGTATGACCTTGAATAAGTCTCTCAACTTCCGGATGTCAGAAGCCCCATCACAGAACGAAAGGTGTTAAGTCAGGTCATCTTGAACACCCTGTCCAGCTCTGTTATTTTGTAATGCCATGAAATCAGAATAACACATTCCAGGCTGTTTGGAGTCAGGGATTTTAGAACCTATATAATAATGTACAGTATTTTAAAAATTTCTACTTTTTTGAATTTTATTTAAATATATACATATTTTCCTATGTTCTTCTGTGCATTCAAATATATTTTCCTATTTAACAGACTCTTCGTCATTAGCAACAAAAAAGCTTCCCAGTGATGCATTTTTCATTTCTTGCTTTTATTTCTTTTTGGCTTCCTTTTTTAACTTCTCCAAGATCTCTTCTGGAGTTGTGGAGGCCAAAAGTTTCACCACCTTTTCACGAGATTTACCACCCTGGACCAAAAGGAAAGAACCACACTGAACATTCCCATGCTATTAGAGATAGCAGACCTCGGTTGTCCAACAGGCTTTCCTGATGACTTGGGTACTGCTTTCTCCTGGCCACTTCTGGTCTAACCAAACACTATCTCTTAGATTCTACCTTACTACAGATTTTTACAACTCTCCAGGGTTTTCACCTTCATACATCAATTTCTTTAATAATAAAAGCTAGGCATTAAAATTTCAAAATGAATATAGAATCTTTATAACATTCTAGGTTCAAGTAATTTTTTATTTAAATTAAAAATGAAAATCACTGTTAAAATACAAAAATACTGCAACTTTATAAACTTTGCATAAAATAATTCTAAATGTAAACAAATTGCTATTCTCTACATCCTTAAACATTTCTGAAAATTCCAAACAAAAAGGAATCATATATCCATATGCTATAATTTCAGAACCACATAAAAACTTTTAAAAGGGTTTGTTTTCAAAGATATCATTTAAAGATAAAATCTGAGCAGGGATTTATCTAGATGGATGGAATCTGCACAGGTGAGGAGTACCTTTTAGGCGAACATTAGAGCATGAGCACTAGCCAAAAATCAGAAATGACAGGAGGGACATTCAGATGGATTTTTAGGTGCGGTGTATGGATCAATGACTTTGAACGCCAGCTGGAACTCGGACTGGAGCTATATAATGCAGCACTGTAAAACAAGCAGTGCTTTAAGAAATATAAACATGGATGGGCCCTACTCCTGCAGATTCTGTTTCAATAAGTCTAGGGTGATGCCCAGGTGATTTAGAAATCATTCGCAAGTGATTTTGATATCCACCCCCAGCACAAAACCTTGCGAATTAACGACTTCATATGAACTGCTGTCTTCCTAATGGAAGGTGAGCAAGGGCAGCGTAGGGATCAGTGATCCTTGCTGGATTCACTAATGGAGATAACAAACACCAGGAACCACTTCAGATTTTTTAGTGTGGTGACAACTTCAGGGAAGAAGTAAGCAAGATTAACCTGTTGACACGTTCAGGAATAAACTTAGGAGAAAATGCTGGAAATGATGGCAGCTGAGAAATGTAAGAACAGGGTGTGGACAGCCTGAATAAGGACTGGGGCAGTAGGAATGAAGCAGACCAAATAGGAAGAATTCACAGGTTTTTGTGGTTAAATGAATATGAGAGTTAAAACAACTGGCTTTCCAATTATTTGAAAAAGAAAAAAAATCAGTATTTTGAGTCATGATTGATGCATAATAATCAAAATGTTTAACAAGAGAGACAGATAGAGACCTACCTTATCCAAAACCACATCACTCTTTCTGAGTTCTAAGACCTTGGACAGATACCGACAGAGCTCAGCATTGGCCTCTCCCTCCGATGGCGGTGCTGCAATAGCTACACTGACGGCTTCTGCTGTCAAATCTGGAATGAAAACAGTGTGGACTTTATCCTTGTAAGTTCATTTTCTTCGTGAAGTGCAGATATTTTGTAAAAGAGTTTGCATTTGCCGGCACAAAATAGACTTTCAATTAATAACTGTTGAATGAAGAAACGAATGATTAAACTAATCACAACTAAGGGAACATAAACATCATAAATATGCCTCTACCATTAGAGAAAATAAATCCAGAGAAGAAAATAGATATTTACCCAACTCTGCTGACCAAGATGGGCCTACAGGATCCTGGGGAGTATCCCGGATTTACACAACTAGAAATTGCACTTGGTCTGATGTAACTAGACCAAGAGCAACAAGATGTACCAATCTCACATGGCTAGAAAGTGATGATGATTCAAAAATAAATTTCGACTCATGATTTAAAATCCAGGCACAAAGAACAGCGGTCCTGACCTCCCCATCAATACAGCCTTTATAAAGAGTAACCCGCCTGTAATTCTCCACTGTTATTTCTGAGACAGAGAAGCATTTACTCAAAGCAGTTTGCAAACAAGCCTGAGCTGATCCTACAGCTCGAGGGGTTACTCAGGCATCTCCACACACTTACACCCTGTCTGTGTAAACAACATGGCCATAGCATCCACAAGAATGAGGTGGTTAAAAAAACCCACCTCCCAGCCTGTCGTTGATTCTAAAATGCATAGTTTTTCACATTTTAACACCTTTGAAATTGAGATGTGCCTTATAACAGATGAATGCAAACTCAGTTGATATGGATATTTTTCTCACTTGTACATAAAATACTGTGTACCTTATAGTTGATGCCATCTTAGATTTAATGAAACATCTCAACAGTAGACAGTGTCCACAGCCACTCTTAGAAAATGCTGGCCAAGGAGGGTCCGGCCATACAGACAAGCTAACAGGGCCATTAGCACAAACCAGGCCTAGCACAGCAATTCTGGAGTCTTGTTTTCAAAATATAATTTATAATACAGAGCATTAGAGGTGAAAAAGATCTTCAAAATAATTCAGATCAATGGTTTTCAAACTTTTTTCTCCTTCACACTCCCTCCTTTTTCCCAATTTTCTCTAGAATCCGTTTAAAATGTTTAAAACAAATGTAAACACAGCTACTCAGGAGCCCCATCTGCCTGGCCTTCCCTTGCCCAGCGCAGAGTCCTGGGCACCTCCAGGGCTCCAGAAATAGCCTGAAACCCTCTTAGTCCAACTATCTCATCTGACGGATGAAAAAACTGGGCCCCTACATAATGTTTTATACTGTTTTAATTTAAAACAAATTCACACAGGAATTGACCAGGGGTCTCAGATCTCAGGTTTTCTCCCCCCTCCTTAAGCCAGTGATCATTAAACTGGACCAAAATGTCCCTGTTTCTCTAGTCAATGTCTCCAGCTTTAAAACAGGACAAACTAAGAATAATCTAGGCTACATATATGTCTCCATATGTATCCTTTCTAAAATACCATATTTTTAAAAGGAGAATATACAATAGTTTTCATCTAACTTGGCATGATTTAAATATCATATATTCATTTTCAAACACCTTTAAATTAGAATCTAGAATTTTAAAATGGAGAAACCGTTAACTGCAGATGTGAAAGACATACTCCACTGTCACAGGACAAGCTTTCAGCCAACCAAGGCAAGGGAGGCTGGAGGGGACACCTGAGTCACACATGAATCCCATCCCAGTGTCCACAGATACCTGTTACGGCATTTTGTTTGGAGCCAGGTTTGGCATGGATGGCTATGGTGACACAACCTTTAGGATCAACAGCCACAGGAGCTAGGGGAGGAAGTGGTCCCTCTGGTTCCTTGCTCTGGCTTTTACCCTAAAATGACAACCACCACACAACTTTACAGGTTACAAAATATTTTCCCACCCATTTAACTCAATCCTTCCACTACTCCCTTTCACCCTTGACTCACCCTTGACGGAGACAAACTAGGCTAATCAGCGTGTCCAGGGACTTCAGGCCTAGAATGCTTTTCCCATGGCCTTCAAGACTCAAATCAATTCTTCCATGAAGCCTTTCCATCAACCCCACAAAGCGTTTTTCCTCCCTTGGAAGAGACCTGACTGGCTTCCGTATCTTAATGCTGGTTCCCACCGTCTCCAATTCCTCAGAGACACGGATCATCTATTCATTTCCGTATCCCACCCTGCAGGAGCTAGTAAACGTCTGTGAACTACTAAGGCTGGAAGCGTATACGTGCGTGTGTTTGGGGGGGGGGAGGAAGGAACAACAGTGACTGATACTTAAAGGCCTATTTATTATGTGACCTAAGCTGTGCTAGGAACTTTGATTCATTCAACAAATATGAACTAAGCAGTGCGGGCTGCAGCGAGGAGGAAAGAGCAAGTGTAACTGCAACACTGTGCTGAGTGCACCCAGGAGATACGCGCAGGACGTTACACCGGGGAGGCATCCAGGAGGCAGTGCTTGAGCCAAGTCTGAGAAACCGGCAGAAATTAGCCACGCAAAGACGGTGGGAGGAAGCGGGAGTGGTGCGTGCTTGCCGGAAGGGACAGGAGCAGACAGGGTAGGGAGGCAGGACGCACAAGGGGCTGCGCAGGGAAGCGCAGGCGTTGCGGTGCCGCTGGAACTAAGTGCTAGCCCGGGAGAGCCCGTGTGCCGCCGGGGCCAGTGCTCGGACGTCCCCCGGCGGGTGGCGGCGCAGCCTGGAGGCGGGGCGCGGGCGGCAGGAGCCCCAGTCGGGGGCAGAGGCGCTGTCCTGAGCCCCGGAACTGAGAGACTACGCGCTGCTGGCGGGGCCTTGCCCCCACCCCGCGGGTCCCACTCCGCCCCCGCGCGCCACAGTGATTAGCCCTGCGGCCCGCCCTCTTGCCCAGGGAACTTGCCACTGGCCTTGTTCGTCGCACCAGCCTTCTTAGGCATCTCGGCGCCGCAAGGGAGCTGAGCGGAGGCCCGAGCACCTGGCGCTGTCCCGAGCTGCCTCAGCCCGCAGCCGAGTCGCAGCATCACGGCCGGGGGAGGCCGCCGGAAGGACCCCGTGCGCCTGCGCACGCAGCGGACGAGAGCGGCCCCAGGGTCCCGCGCCTCCGCTCCGGCCCGAGGGCGACACCTGGCGGCCGGCGGGAGCGAGTCTCGTTCCTCCAGAACCTGCACGGGCCCCTCTTGACTGGAAAGGGCCTCAGCGGGTGGGAAGGTGCGTCACCTCTGGTCTTCTCTTGCGTCACTTTCTCTTTGAAAGGTATTGTCATTTCTCAGGATTGGAGTGAGCGGCAAAGTGTACACAGGACCTTCATGCTCCTGCAGCCAACCAGCAGGTGCAGGGCCGCTGCTTCCTGCGGCCCACAGGTCGACACAGAGCCTCGTGCCGGCTTTGCCCTTGGGTACGTTCCGTGTAGCGATGGCGCATCTACCTCGTGCCAGGCGCACAGGATCCCACAATGGAGAGGAAATATACTGAGACACGTGATATGGCAAGACATGAAACTGGAGAAGTCGGCAGAGGCGAGATCACGGGCTCACTGACGGGTGTGAAGCTAGGGATTGGCAGTCCAATTCGTTGTATTCCAGAAACACCACCGGCTGCACTGTGGCCAACAGGGAAAGCCAGAGGTAGGGAGAGCTGCCACCTCAGTGGGCGATGGCCTGAACTAGAGGAGCTGCAGCACGAGTGAAGAGCTGACCATTTCAAGGGCGTTCAGGAACTGGGATGATCAGATCTTGGGGAATGACTGAATGTGGGAATGAGAGTGGAGAGTCAAGGACATGCCCAGGTCTAGGGCCCGAAGAACAGGGTTGGGAGTCTGAGGGGTTCAGTTCTGGGCATAATGGTTTGAGACCATTATGTGGTCTCATTATGTGGGACATCCAAGTACCAATGTTAAGGGGGTAGCCGAAGCTTGAGAGATCAGGGCGGGCGGTAGAGATTCTGGGGTCCTCCGGAAGCAGGCAGCAACTGAAGCGGTGGAAATGGATGAGAGCAAGGTGCAGAGGGCGGCACAGCGTGAGTGTGCAGGACAGGACCATCAGGGCAGGTAGAGAAGTCACCAGAGGACATTGTCCAGAGGCAGGAGTACAGTGTAACGGCAGCTACAGGAGGGTACTACAGAGGGAGTAGCCAACAATGAATGCCACAGACAGAGCATGCAAAACAAGGACTGAGACGTGTCCCCAGAATTTAGACATAATAGTGTGTTGATGACCCAGGCAGGAGTGGTTTCAGTGGAGAGGAGGAAATGGACGTAATGAGCGTAGAGAACAACTCAGTGACTTCGCTGGGGAGTGACTGGTATCTGAGGGGGCACATGACATCCACACACCTTTATTTTTGCAGCTGGATAAGAGTTAACTGTATTTGAAGGTTGACAGGAATGAGCCAGGAGAGGAGCCGTTACGGCAGAGGGACGTTCCTGCGGTGGGGCGGTCTGAGCACGTGTGCAGAGACGGCTCTGACTACAGGAGGCCTTCGACGCTCCTTCCTCCGTAAGAAAGGGGAAAGCTCGGGAGCACATGTAGATGCATTTGCAGGTGTGGTGACAGAAGCTGGAATTTCTTTCATTAGCTAAGGCTGGGGAGGTGCTGACGTTGTGAGCAAAGGGGAACACGTATCCACAGGGACTCTGGAGAATGGGAAAGAGCCGACAATTGAAACCCAGCAGCACTGACAGTTAAGGGAGACCATGAAATCATCATAGTCCCGATCTATACCGTTCTATCATTTTAAATGCTTGGACCCAGCAGCCAGAAGTTGAAGACAAGGCAGACAACTGGGTTGATCCAGGTGTACACATGTAGGTTGAAGGTTACTGATGAAGGGGCTAAAGTGACTGAAGATCAAAGGTGGAGAAGGTGGGGGGAGTTCACAGGTAGAGTCTAACTGGGTAGGGAAGGAAGTAGAGAGATGGCAGAACAGAGAGGTCAAGGGGCTGCAGTCTTCAGGGTCAATAATGGGTGAACTAGAAAGCAAACGAGAGCTGGAAGTAGCATCGTCGCTGTGGTCAGAGTGGGATGTCTGAATTTACTATCTCAGAGGCAGAGCAATTCCACATCACCACGGCGTGCACGGTGTGGTCCTGGGAAGGAATGCTGCAGGTTGCTGGAAGTAAGGAAACTGGAAACCTAGGTGTGGAAGGGTTGTCCACATGGACACCGAGCCACTCAGCATGAAGGCTTGAGCAGAAGTGAGCCAGGTGTTAAACCAAAACCAGATTTTCTTCCTTTGAAATCTCTAGCTTGGGAGATAGAAATGGGTTTAAATTCCACCTCCTACTACTTACTGACCTTTTTGAACATTAATTTGCCTGTGTAGGGGTGTTATAATAGTACTTATCTCACACTGATGCTGTGAGAAACGAGTAAGAATGTATATAAAGTACTTAGTGCAGAGCCCAGTATAGTTTTACCACTCGAGTAGCTATTATTAATAAACAATGTGAGATGACTGTCTCACTATAACAGAGTAAATAACAAGATTATTTCTTGCAATCTTCCATTCTTCATTCTCTACCTCCTGAGCTTAGAATATGGGAGAAAAACCTGAGACCACAGAAAAGTGATCAAGAAACAGATGTGGGCCGGGCGCGGTGGCTCACAATTGGCCTGCAGTCCTAGCACTCTGGGAGGCCAAGGACCGTGGATTGTTTGAGCTCAGGAGTTCGAGACCAGCCTGAGCAAGAGCGAGACCCCCGTCTCTACCAAAAATAGAAAGAAATTAATTGGACAACTAAAAATATATAGAAAAAATTAGCCGGGCATGGTGGCACATGCCTGTAGTCCCACCTACTCGGGAGGCTGAGGCAGGAGGATCACTTGAGCCCAGGAGTTTGAGGTTGCTGTGAGCGAGGACGACGCCACGGCACTCTAGCCCGGGCAACAGAGTGAGACTCTGTCTCAAAAAAAAAAAAGAAAAGAAACAGATGCGGCAACTGTTGCAACTGTTGCTGCTGCCGTGGTGCCTACGTACTGCTGTGCGGCAGCAAGGCACTCTTATTTTGGGCTGCATTGCTCCAATTCGGTTAGAGTTAAACCTCAATTAACTAGAACTTTTGTTCCAGAGTGGTATCTCATATTCAATTTTCAGATGAAAAAGACAAATGACAAAAATATAAAAGGATAACATATATTTATTTTTTTTTAAATTCCAGGGAATATCCCAATGTTAGCGAACACTTCTGTTTATTGTCCCTTCTATGGCCACATCCAGTTACAATCATTGTTCAGTACAATATACTTGAGACATGTGAGATGCCTCAAACATTAAGAAACACTCACTTATCTCTGGCCTAGTGTGCTTTTTAAGGTGAAGTTCTTCCTGTAATGGTTACTAGAGTGTTTGCTGGTTGATTTTTAGTTAACCAGGACCATGTATTCCACAGGACCATACATGCCATCAGTATTCCAGTTAACTGAGGTTTATATCCATAAGGATGTGGTACCAGAGATAGAAAATTTTCCCTTTTTTTCCCAGCAATTTCAAGAGACCTCAGCCACCAACACACGTCACTACCTTCTTGAAAATATAAAGTGAAATATTACTTCAGATGAACATTTTTTACATCCTAATTACTTACTTTTAGAAAAAATCCTTAAGTTGATACTTAAAAGAATTGTGATTTTTCATTTATCTTCCACAACTATATGACATACCTTAAACTTAATTACACTTAAATTTTTTATAACAGAATCACTTTCAAGGGAAAAAAATGAATGTTATTTCATTTACATTAAAAAACTCTGCTCTGTAAGGAAGTATATAAATGTCCTTCTGCCAGATATACTTCCTAGCTCCTCCCAGCACAGCTGCACCAGCGACATTAATGAGGTCACAATATTAAACATATTTTAACATTGGATAGAAACATGTAGGTGGCAGAAAGCATACTTTTCAGCAGGAGTGATTCTGTGGGATATCTCAGAGTAGTTGTTAGAAATGTCAGTATTTTTCCGATTTCTTGCTGTGTAGGATTATCGCCATGCGGAAGTACATCATCATCACCATCATCGCTTCAGTCCTGGGACTCGGGCAGCACCCCACGGACAGGAACAGCGGTGCAGGTTAGTGATAAAGAATCCAGTCTTAGACTGTACCTTTAGATCCTTTGTTTATATCACATTATTGTGAATTTATACAAACTCCATTTGTAATTTTAAAACTGTACTAAGTAACACAATACTATACTATTACAAAATATCTTTTTCTGTAAATGCATTGAAAATTTTCATGGGCATTTTATTAGGCCTGTTTTTTAGCATTATTCCAAATGCTATCAGATATTTCAAACCCCCAAATATAAAGTCAGTTTTCTTAATTTTCTGAAATTAGTTATTCGAGTTAATAGGAATTCTGTAAGAATGCTGACCCATCTCATCTCATCCAACCTTGAAAACAGCGAAGCCTATTTGCCCATCTCAGCTAACCTTCAAAATGGTTAAAACAAAAACAAAACAAAAAAACAGCTATATATATAACAAGAATCTTTCAATTCCAAAACTATTGAAAAGTCCATGAGTCAACTGATCTATGAAATTATATAGGATGAAGCTGAAATAGCTGCGCTTTTTAAAAACAATTAAACCCAGTTCTCTTTTCCTCTAAGGTTGTAAGAAAATGGAAAATCTGCTTTTAAATCATGCAGAGATTTAAATCAACATTTTTCTGTCTAAGAAACTAAAATGTTTCTTATCTTACATTTATAAATATTCATAACACTCAAACCATTTTTTTGTGGCCACTTATTTATGCTTTTGACACTAGATTATATGGTACTACTTAGCCGAGACGTAATATAATACTCGATTATGTGTAAAATATTATTTCTGGTATTTGTCCATCTTCTATGGAGGTGCCGTTATTATTGCCAGGGGAGCTGAGAAAGAAGAAGACAGTCTTGCTGGCAGCAGGCGTCTCGTGCACGACCTTCTTCAGTCCTTTTGTGCCATAGTGGGAATCTGGACCCTAAATGAGAACGCAAGGTTCCTTAGTGATTTTCATTTAATAAGCACTCAATTTAATTTGGCATTTTAATTAGATTAATATTCTATTTCATTATAGCTCCTGTATAAAATTTTGTGCTAAGTCTTTTAGTGAAAAATGAAATTTTTACTAAAAAACCAATTAATGAGTAAAAATACTGAATGGAGAGCTCAGCTATTAGAGAAGAGTGAAAAGATTTTAAGAAAGTAATTATTTTCTCTTTTGTCAAACATTCAATTTCCTACACAAAGGGCTACTTCTGAAGGACTCTCTTTCAGAACAGAGCTGTGCAGAGAAGCACTTTTCTTTTTTTTTTGATTCACTAGTTTGCTTCTAAGCACTTCTTTTCTCACTATTTTAGTTCCCATCTTCTTTCTGTGCCCCCTTGTCCCCCACTGTTTCTAAAGGGCTCTACTGTCAGTGACTCTCGGCTTCTAAAATGCGCTTTCAAGAGGTAACAACAGTCAACATTCAAGAGGAAACTGTCTGGAACCCGTGAGCGACTCTTACTTTGAGCGTTGCGCATGCCGTGTAGCACACGTTGGGCAGGATCTCTATAGGTTCTTTGAACATGACCCTGAATGTGTTAGCTGTGCCATCACAACTAAATCCAGTATCATTTTGTCCCAGGGTTTGTTTTTTTTCATATTCAATGATCTGTAATTTTTAAAAGACAAGTTACATTTAAGTTAAACCAAATGGAACAAAGTTTTATAGAAAAGAATATGAAGCCCTTAGCAATAGCAGAGTAGACTATTAAATCTCTGTGTTCTAGTCTTTCTCTACTTACCTTTAACCACTAAAGGTGGCTTTCAACATGCTGTTTATCATTCAGCACAGTAAGAACCAGGAGGATGTCAGATAACGGGGCCTTGACTGTAGGAGAAAGGAGCTTCCGTAAAAGACACACAGCTTGATGTATGGATTTTTAGAATGTGTCAATTTTAGATACCTGAGGAAAACAAGCCTTTAACTCCTCGCTAGCCTGCCTTGTTGCTAGGAAATTCCCTCAGCATTTCCTGTGTCTAAATGTTATTTACTAAAATTAAAATGACCTTAAATGCAGTATCTGGTTTGTGAATATTCAGTGTAAAAATTCTATTTTAGTCCCATAATCTGTGCCAAGCCCTATGCTAGGCACTGAGGGACATCCTCAAGGAGCTTCTAGTCACTAAGGAAGACGTGTTTACAGTGACAATTCAGTCCAGCACCCACAGTAAGCAGGATGTGCGTAGACGAAATGGCGAAGAGAGGAAACACTGCGTCTGTCGAGCTGGTTAAGCGAAGCTTCCCGGAGAAGAGTTTTAAAAGCGCGAGTCAGAGCTTACCAGCTTACCAGGTTACAAGAGAAAGGTTTTCTATGTGTGGGAAAGCACAGCAGAGGCAGACACTCACAGACCTGCCTTTTTGCCACATTAGATGAAAACTAATGGTGCAACAGGCAAAAGCCATCTATGCTGGGAGAGGTCAGGACAGTGGACACCGTGCAGGAGAGTGACTGGGCTTCTGGGGCGCTGCCCTGTCCTGTTGCCCGATCAGGCACTGATTACACAGGAATGTCTGGTTTGTGTACATATGTGCCACTTATAAATATGCATACTTTTCTGTGTGTATAATCACAGTTCAATAAAAAATTGAAACAAAATGACATGACATGATGGTGCCCTAGAATAAAGCAGTAAGACACAGGATTTGGTGGTGACCATGTAATCGAGACCAAACCACTTCACTTTTCTGAACTTCGGTTTTGTCTTTTAATTGGGGAAAAACCTTGTTTTGCCTTCTTCCTAAGATTATTATGAAAATCAAATTATAAAACAGCAACAAAAATAGCAACAACTATATGCTGAACACTTTACAGGCATCATCTCGAGCAGTCCTTACAAAACTATAAAGTAGGTACCACTACTGTCATAGCAGAGGAGGAGACTGAGGCTTAGGGAGGGTACAAAATTCACAGTCATACCTTACAGGCAACAGAGCTGAGATTCAAACCCAAACAATTCTTTCTGATTTGAAAGCTCATTCACTTAACTACTGTTTTAAATCTCCTATAAAATACAGGCAAACATCTACAGAAAATGTAATAGAGCTGAGATTCAAACCCACGCAGGTCTACCTGACTTTAAAGTTCATTTGCTTAATCACTTTTAAAAATCTCCAATAAAATATAGGTGAAAATCCCTAGAAAATGCCAAAGCATTAGCAACTATAATGTGGTATCATTATCAGCATATGGACATATATTCAAAACCTGCTTTTGGCCATTGTCAATAATTCACTTACAGATTTGCTATCTTCAATATTGATGTCCCATGGGGATATCAGAGAAGTTGAGATGTTATACTAGGGTCCTTAAATGACACAACTGTTAAAGTCCTAAGAGTTTGCCACCTTTCCTTAACGGTCCATGGAGCTAGTGGTAGTGGATGCGGGTTGACCACTGTTCTCAAAATCTTCCAAGCCAGTATATGTCCTACTTGCTACTATATAACACAAGACTTTGGCGCTTTCATTTAATACTGTGAATCACGCCAAAGCTGTGTTTTAAGAAGTATGTGGCTCTCCTTTTAGGTCAAGTGAAGTGGCTCTCCCCAAACAAGCAATGAAGATGACTAATGTTCACACCAAAATGCGCCATCTCCATCATGGCTACATCTGCTAGTTAAACATAGAGACTTTTCTTTCCATATTCCATATCTCTGGGGTTAGGACCCAGGATGGGCATTATGAAAAAAGCCCTCTAGGTACTTCCAGTAAATATTCCTGTTTACAACTTACTGATTTAGAGGAATTGAAATTGTAAGTGTATAAGAGAAGGGTTGACTCAGGGACCATAGCTGTTGGTAGATACCTGGTATTGAGAGAAGTTTCCCACAGGAGTGGGCCTTTAATGCAGAGTTAAAGCAAAGTTTGTAAACTGGTAACTATCAGGATTTAGCTTCAGATTGGCTTTGTATGGCCCTCATGGTGTCGCTATTTCTAAAGATTTTGAATTATCAGTCAATAGTTAAAAATAGACCATGGGGAGATTTCATATAAAAATCCAATTTCTGGCTTATAAAAATCAGAAACTCTGGCATCCTTGGACCCTTATTATCACATTGCAGCTACTGGAAAGAGCTAAGTAGTGGCTGCCCCTTTAAATATTCCACATCCCCCACAACTCCCTCCTGTCCCTAGTGTCTCCTACACCAGGCCTGGTTTCTCCATTTAAAATTACCTGTCCAGTCCCTGGTAGGCATTTGAATTTGTCACCTCTGACACAAAGGAATAGATGGTTGGATAGCCACACGTAGAAGACTGAAACAGGATCCACACCTTTCACCTCTCGCAAAAATCAACTCACGGTGGGTAACAGACTTAAACCTAAGATGTGAAATGATTAGAATTCTAGAAGAAAATGTTGGAAAAACTCTTCTAGACATTGGCCTAGGCAAAGAATTTATGAAGAAGACCC